CCCCCCCCCCCCCCGTGCCTGGTTTTCCAGCCCCACCTTCTGCCCTTCGTTACCCACAAGGACCCATGGAAGACCAAGAGGCGGTCCCTGCAGACCACAGGAGACCTCGGAGCCCACTGGCGCACCAGGGCCAAGGAGCGGCAGCTGGGCCCAGCCAGGCTCCATGCTACAGAGAACGGCTGTGGCACGAAAGCCAGGTGGCGGGCTCAGCAAACACAGGGCGCCCGACGCTGCATCTCGTCCAGCACCCCGGGAGGCTCTTGGCGTGGCCAAGCAGGTGAATTTAGTACAACCGAAGCCCAGGCTTTGCCTCAGCGGATGGGCCCTCTCGGCTCTGCTCTGAGTTCTCTCCGTCTCATCGGCTGAAGCACACACACCCCTGCTCAGAACGCCTCCTGTGGACCCGTGGCCCTGCCTGGCGTTTGCTCCTGCTGCTGCCTCTGCTGGAGCCTCCTGGGCTGGGCGGGGCTGGAGACGGCCGTGTCTAAGATGGTAACACAGTCTCCTCAAAGCCTTTCATCCACAGCACACAGAGCCCCATGCCACAGCCTCCACCCTGGACACGAGCATCAGAAAAGCCAAAAAGTTTGATCGAATTAAAGTTCTAGGAGACCCATGAGCCGACCCTCAGCCACGACAAGGCATAAGCATCACACGCTAGGCCTGTGACCTCAGGGAAGAGGACGCAGTGCCCAAGGCGCCTGGAGGCTGGCGCTCCGCTGCTCGGGGGCTGGGAGTGGCGGGCAGGAGAGGGCACCTGGTTGATGCCAAGGGTGAGGTCTGCGCTCCCGTCAGGGAAGCAGGCTCCACGTACTCTGTCTGGAAGCCTGGACAGCAGCCAGTAATGGGCCACTTTCTTCTGTCTTGAGGCAGGGGAAGAGGAGGCCCACAAAATGGGAGCTGGACCAGCACTGAACTGTGTGCCCTGGGCAGCCTGACCCTGAATCCATAATGCGAGACTCATCCAGGGCTGGACCACGCGAGGAGCCATCTGAGGCAAGCTGACACCACAGAGAGAGGTCTACACAGAGGAACAGTCCTGGCCAGGAACAACCCACCAGGCAGAGTGGTCTACACAGCGGAACAGTCAGCATCAGGAACAACCTGCCAGGCAGAGAGGTCTACACAGCAGAACAGCCAGCGTCAGGAACAGCCTGCCAGGCAGAGCAGTCTACACAGCAGAACAGTCAGCATCAGGAACAACCTGGTAAACCATTGGCTCAAGGAAGCCACGGAGATGATGGTGAGTAAGCACAGCAGATTCGAATGAGAGACTCCGTCCCTGCCAAAACAGGATGAACGGGACCAGATGAAAAGGACTTAGAAATGAGTAATTTTCAGAGTTCCTTCTGCTTCCAACTGTGATCAAGTCTCTGCCACGAGTAGCCACTGTGAAGCTGGACCAAACACAGCACTGGGTCTGGGCAGCACAAGCCTGGGGTCCCTGGAGGCAGGAACTCAGGAAGGAGCCCGCGCCCTGCCTGAAGACAGTGTCCTGTGGCATCGCGGGCAGAGCACTGGGCCCAGAACCAGGGCACCTGCCGTCCACAGGGAGGGTCTCGGCTGCTCCGGGCTGGAGAAGAGGAGCCGGGTACCAGAGCAGCTGCTGCAGGCCTGCCCACCAGAGAGGAGAGAGCTGGGTATCCCTCACTCACACTCCAGATGTCAGCCGAGCCCACAGAGATCGCGGGTGCAACCGGGCTAGAGGTTGAGCCCCACTGAGACAGGCTGGAAGACACTGTAACCTTCCAGAGATATGGCCAACAAAACAAGAAGCCAGCTCTCAACCAGTAACTGAAGTACCCAAGAGAACAAAAAGCAACACTCTCCTAAGAAAGATCACAGAATCCACAGACTCCACAGTGCACCAACCACAACATTCGGTACACAATAAAAAACTACTGGACATGCAAGGAAACAGGAAAAGGTAACCCACAGTCAGAACGTAAGAGGGGCCAGATGCTGGGTTTTTATCAGGAACTACGAAGGCCAGAAGAAAATAAAACAACCTCTTCAAAGGGTTTAAAGAAAAAAAAAATCTGTAAACCCAGAATCCAGCAACTGGTGAAAATAATCTTCAAAGATGAAGTGAGGTGAAGTCATTTTCAGATCAACAAAAGCCAAAAGAATTCGTCACGAGCAGTCATGCATTACAAGAAAAAAATAAAGGAAGTTCCTCAGGCTGAAATAACAGCAGAAAGAAACTTGGATCTGAGGGTAAGAAAGAAGAAAGAGCCTGTGGGATTGACAGAGAAGTGGGCAAACATAAGAAACTATTGATTTTCTCTGTAATTTTCTTTAAAAAACCACTGGCTGCTAAAAGCAAAACAATTACACTGTAAGATGAGGTTCATAACACATTTAGAAGTAAAAGACATGACAACAACCGCACAAAGTGGGGTAGATGAAGGGAAATGCGTGAGGTTTTCCCTTTGCCGGGTGGGAAGCACCACCTCACACAGACTTGGCTAAGGAGGATGTGCACTGTTAGCCCTACAGCAATCCCCCCCACCCCAAGGGTACAGTGGACAAAAAAGCTGATAGAGGAAGTAAATGCAATGGTAAAAAGTTCAACTGACCTCAAAGAAGGCAGGGAGAGAGCAGCAGCAGAACAGAAGGGACAACTGGAAACAAATGACGAGATTGTAGACAAGTTCAAAGCTACACTAAACACAAAGAGCCTAAACACTCCAGTTAAAAGGCAGAGATTATCATACGAGACAGAAAGAAGTGAGACCAAACTACATGCTATTAAAAGCTGTGTTCTACACTTTAAATTGAAAGATCCACAGAGGATGAGAATCGAAAGGATGGAAAAAGAAATGCTTCAGACGGGCCCAGATGGTTTCACTGGATTCTATCAAACATTTAAGGAAGAAAACACCAATATTGCACAAACTCCTTCAGAAAGCAGAGGAGGAAGAATCCTTCCCACCTTCCCAATTCATTTAATAAATTCAGCATAACCCTGATGTCAAAACCTGACAAAGACATTACAGAAGAAGACAATCACAGGCCAACGTCCTCATGAACCTACACATAAAAATCTTTAACAACACGCTGACATATGTCAGGACCATGCAGAGAATGCAAGGTTGGTTCACCACGCAAAATTCAATCAGCATAATTCACCACATTAAAGAACAAAAGAGAAAAGTCACAGACCTTTTAATAGATGCAGAAGAAACATTCGACAGCACTCAACACCCACCCATGATTAAAAAACAACACAACGAAGGGACATTAACAATGTTTGTATTCTATTGTGTGCAATTATATCTCAATAAAGTTAATCAGAAAAAGAACTGTCAGAGAAAAAGAGGACAACTAGAAGACATTATTTTTAAAAATCAGGCAAATATGAAAGTAAACTAAAAGGATATTTTGGAAGAAATAGTCATTAAAATTTAAAAACATAGGCTAAAGAAAGGAAGGAAAATTAGAGAATTTGTAAAATAAGAGAGTACTAATGGCCTGGAGGAAATCTGTCAGAATTCAGTGTGTCACACATGGGGGGTGGGGCCATGAGTGTGAAAGGTTCGCTGGGCTGGGGGCGGTCGGTAGCTGGGCTAGGAGCCTGTCATACATCCCCATGGGATTCCAGAAGGAGAAACTATTTTTAAAACGGGTAAAAATCACAGATTGGAAGAGAGATGCAGCTCTTCACAGCCAAGACCCCCAGGTGCCGGCAGGAAGTGAACCGTACTGGAGACCCTGGGGACCCCCCTTGCCCACCCTCAGGCTGACAACCAGGCCCCTGGCTCCCCTGCTGAGACCCCTACTCCGAGGGCTCAAGTAGGCGATGAAACCCAACCCTAATTAATCACAGGAGCAGACGGGGCAGGGCAGCTCTCCCCACCGCCCCTCCTTGTGGCTGCAGCCCCTCCTGGGTGACCCTCCACAGCTCCTCTCTGCCCACACCCCTTGTCTGCCAGGGACCATCTGCAGCATCCCCATGGGCTGCGACCCCCAGCCAGGGGGCCTCACTGACTCACCGCCCACTCCACCTTCCCTCCTGCGCCTGTACTCACAGGCCCTGTGCCCTGCCATCCCCCTGCAGCCCAGGACCTTCCTGACAAAGCCCTATCTCCTCGGCCCCTCTCGACCTCAGATGGGTGCCGCCCAGGTGCCCCCCAGCCTCCCCCCTGCAAGGCCCTGCCCCCCGCACTCCAGACACACCTCCCCCACGGCCTGCCGGCCTCTCAAGCTGGCCCTTCTGCGGGGAGCCACGGAGTCCTGCTGCCCTTCCTGCCCACTTTTTCGGGAAAATGAGTTGGACTTCGTCCTTACCCCAAGGGTCTCCCGCCCGCTTCTCTCCCCCCGGGGGGAGAGCCCAGGACCGCCACCTGTCCACCTTCTCCAGGACCTCCGCGATGCTGGCCAGCGACTTCCGCAGATGGTGCCTCAGGTCGTGCTGCAGCAGCGGGAGGCATGTGTTCCACTGCGTGGCGCACACCACGTGGATGACCCGCGGGTCGCCCAGGCGCACAGCTCGCTGGAGCACCACGTCCAGTCTCTGTACTATATTCAGCTGGGTCTGCACAAAGGACAGTGGCCCATGTGTGAGGCTGGGGGCAAACGTGCACCACAGGGCGAGCCAGGGCATCCCCGGCCGACCCTGAGCCCAGGAGGCCGCAGGTGGGGCCCGGGCCCACAGTCTGAGTCTGTCAGTGGAAATGGCCTGCGTGATTTTTTCTAGAAGGGCCTGGCTCGGTCGAGATCCTGCCTTAGAACGGGCTCTGTGCCCTCTGGGTGTGTCTTTCCTCTGTGAGCCCATCTGAGCGAGGCTGCTGATCTCCTGGCTCTGTATATTTATGGGGCCCACGCCCAGTTACGTCCACTACCCAGTGAACAGCTCCTCCAGTCCATGCCCCACACGCCCTGCCCAGCAGACAGGCGCTGGCTGGCCTCAGCCTATGCAAGGGGCCTCACCAGCTCCATGCCTCCCTCAGCGCCCACTAGGGCTGCCTGGGTGCCTAAGCTCAGCCATGTCCATGGGCCCTGGCTTCTGGCACCTGGGGGCCTCCCCTCGTGCTGCTCCCGGCCCACAGGGACCAGCACAGGCTTGGGGTTCAGACCCTGTGACTCCTGCCTGCGAAGATGTGTCCATCAAAGCCTCATTGAACCGGTGCCCCTGAAGGGCCCCTGGCCCGAGGTCCGAGGCCGACAAAAGCAGAGGGACACAGCCCTGCAGTCCCTGCGCCACCACCTGCCAGCACCAGCACGCGGTCAACAGGTAGCCCGCGACCTCCCTCGAGAAGATCAACGCCGGCAGGGGCAGCCACCCGGGCAAGTCCAAAGGGAACACGCACATCCCCCAAGTGGCCTCGAACTCGCGGAGCCCCAGCCCAGCTGATCGTCCTCTGGCAGAGCTCACAGCGCCAACGCTGCCTCTCCTGCTCCAGAGGGGCAGGACAGCCCAGCTACAGGGCTCCAGAGAGGGTCCCAGGAGCTGAGCCAGGGAGCAGACACCTGGGCCCCAAAGAAATGCCAGCCACCATCATTCTGTTTCAGTGTATTTTGGTTCCCTTTTTTCAACTGCAGGATTCTTATTAAAGAGCATAAATGATTGCTGGATTCCTTTTCTGGCGGTGGCTGCTGGACCAGCTCTGACTGCATTACACAGGATGCTGAGCTCACATGGTCTGTCACTTTGCCACCGTGTTCACCAGGCTGCCGTGTGCCAACTCCTCAGAGAGACAGCTGCCTCCTCAGTAAATACCAGTGGAATATTCTAGACAAGTCAGGGATTTCCAAAGGGGGCAGCGAGGGAGGAACGCTCGTGCGGGTCCTCTGGACCTGCCCTCCACCCTCTCCGAGGTCCCCCCTCCCCCATCCCGTGATGACCTCACCACTTCACTGGAGCCCCTCTGTTTCCCAAGCCCAGCGAGGCCAACAGCCCCGCACTAGAGCCGGGGCAACGTGTGCCTTCCTGGACCTGAGTCAGGATGGCAAAGTGCTCTCGTGGGGACTCAGCGTTCACCAATGGCAAATGTTATCAGTGCGCTGGGGTGGGCCACTCCACACAGGCCGCAGGAGGGCTTGGCCACAGGACGGTCCCACCCCAGCCCCTGGCCCAGAGAATGGGCTGCATGAACCCAGACGTCCGCCAGGCCAAGGTGGCCCTGGGAGCCGTGGGGAATCCAGCTCCGTGCCGCAGAGGAGGACGGCAGCCGGCCTCGGCAGCTGAGGGCCACCCAGGCCCCTGGAGGTCCTGCCAGAGAGGCCACAGTCACGGGTGGGAAACCAGGGCACAGGGGGCTGGCCCGCGCCTGTCAGGTATCCCCCGCAAACCTGGCACCAGTCAAGTCACAGGGTCCAGGGAAGCTGCACAACAGTTCAGCATCTGCTGCAGCTCCTAGTCGAGGACTTACCTCCACAGCCTCTTGGGTGTAGATTTTAATTTTATTTGCAAGTCTTACAGCTTCCAATTCATACTCCAGGCACTCGATTTCAATTAGCTTCCCGGGATCCTGCGGGGCACAGGAGTTGCTGTGTAAGATGGAGAGTTTTAACGAAAGTGACCATGCACATTCATTAACTTCAAAGACCATTTAAAAATGTAATTTGTGGGGCTTCCCTGGTGGCGCAGTGGTTGGGAGTCCGCCTGCCAATGCAGGGGGCACGGG